AAAGTGAAAGCTGGTTTTTTCGCGGCCGGTATATCATTTTTTCTCAGGTTGCGAAACTTAAAGCCGTGTGGACTCAAATCCCCAGAACCCCCTAGCCAGCCGTGCTGGCTAGGGAATTCTGGGAATTGAAGTCCACACGTCTTAAAGTTGCCAACGTTGAGAAACACTGATATACAGGCTGCAAAAATCCAGTTGATCACTAGAAGTTAGCTTCTTTGCAGCAGAGATGTTATGCCTAGGAATGACTTCTCCTAAATCATGGTTGGCTTACTTAGATTTGTTGAGCCAGGCCCAATGAGATAAGGAGCTGAGAAATCTCATGAGACTTTGAGTTGTTTCAGTCAGGTAACCAAGGCTCCTCACTGAGCGCAATTTCCTCAGAGAGACAGAACCTCGTGAACATCTCGGATGTCTTCTTCCCAGCTCCACTGGGTCCTTGGCGTACTCTGAGCTTGGTGATTTTCCTGCAGACATTTTGTTACCAGGCTAGGAATGTCAGTTTTGAGGCCTGGTGTGCTCCAGAGGAGAGGCAATTCCATGGCACAGGTGCCGTCACGGAGAAGGCCCCATTGTGTCATTGCCATGCAGTGAGTCAAGGACCCTTTGCATTGAAATCTGGGGGGGGGTGCTCCTCTGGTGGGCTCTTGGGAGAAGAGGAAGATTGTCGTTTTCTCAAAATGCATCAGAGGAGGAAAAGAGGAGGTTCAAGCTATTTGAAGCCTCTGTCTTCCCTTGCTTGTTCTTTAGATGCACACTTTGTCAAACTCCACCGCTTCTAGTCTCAGGTCTATGACTCCCAGAATTCCTGGGAGGAGGAGGAGGGGATCAAAGATTTCCTTTTGCACATGGCGGCAGTGCAAAGGAGCTGAGCAGGAAAGGCATGGGAGGGGGCGATGTCGGGTTAGAGATCAAACCTCCATCTTTCTGCAAACTGGCAAGCTTGAGAAATTTGGGAGCAGATCTTCCAATATTCCCAGCCAGTGAGGCCGAACACAGATACAGAAGTTTTAATTGCTGTTGCTTTTTATTAGCCTTTGGGTAAGAGCCGGTTTGGAGTAGTGGTTAAACAGGGAGACTCTGCGTTCTAGTCTTGCCTTAGGCATGAAAGCTGGTTGGGTGACTTTGGGCCAGCTGTTCTCTTGGAGCCCCAGGGAGGAGGAAGAGGGCAAAAAGGCAAGTCGCTTCCGAAAAATGTTGCCAAGAAAACTGCAGGGATTTGTCAACACTGCCTTGAAGGTACAAAAACTTTTGGGTAGCAACTCCCTGTAGCCTTTATTCCACCGCAACTCTCACTCCCATTGAGCTGCCTTTGGAGATTTCAGGGAGGGGCCTCCAAACCCCTTTTTTACAGTTCCACCCAGCAGAAAATGAGCAGGGCCATTCACTCCCTGCTGGTTTTAGCTAAGCAACACCCAACTGTGATGTCAGCCCTAAAACTGGCTTAATTGCAACCCAGCTTTTTTAAAAAAAAAAAAAAGAAGTCCCACCTCTGTGCATGAAATGAACCCAGCCACTTTGCAAACACCCTCAATTTTCTTTTTCACCATCTGGTGGAACAGTCTGTCGGGGGCAATCATGGCATTCACCATTCCTGAAATACAATCCTTGCCCTCACCTCCTTTTCTTCCGCAACCTTAAAAGAGGGAGAAATGGGATGCTACCACTAAACCTTTCCCAATTCTCTGTGAATTTTGCTGAAACTGTTAAAGTTAGCCCAAATCCCTCAAGGTGGTACAATAAATACGAAAGAATAGGAACACCACTGTTAAGCTTCAGTCTGTTTTTTTACATTGAGAAACCAAAGTGTTAGCTTTTTCTAAGGGCAAGAAGATTCTAATTAGATCTACAAGTCTCAAAGCTTTCGTGTTTATGTCCCCCCGGACCCTCTGAAAATTCCTGGGGGTCTTAGCTGACTACTTGAAAAACTGGGTTTTGATTCATATGTATCTCATATTCCTAACACTGTTTTCTTCAGCACTAATATTACCACCAAACCAGGGACTTATTAGGGAAACACGAGCTTTCAGCGGGGACAACCTCCTCCAACCTCCCTCTTTGGTCCACCCCCAGGATCCCCAAGGTGAGCAACAGCTCTGCTGAATCTTCTACCCTTGACACAGACCAGCTGGAACTCTGCCACCAGAACATGAAACAAACATAAATGCAGGGCTAAGAGGTGGGATCCTGAACTTTTCCTCAGCCTTCCTGCAGGCCACCTCAGATGGACTTCACAGACCACAGGGCACCCAGGGAGCACATGAGAACTAATTGCCCCTGGTACTTCAAATTAGGCTGTTGACACCAAAATCTAATTTAGAAAGACTTTATTAAACTTGGACGAAAGAGATTTGAAGAGAAATAAAGCAGGGTGCAGTATAAAAGAATGATTAAATAAAGTAGCTTCTACAATGCCTATACTGAGTCACTATAAGCCAAGGTCCATTAACTTGCATCTGACAGCATGGATCTCCATGTGCGTTAAGCCAAAGACAGAGAGAGAAAGAGAATAAAAATACCTATTACCTTGTGGTAAAGGGGGAGTGGAGGGGAGTAAGGAGGACTGAAAGGAAGTGGGAACCCCACCAATCAGAAGCTGGCAAGAACGGGCTGGCTGAACCCTCCTAGAGAGAGTCAGCTCATTCATCCTTGCCAAAGCAAGAAACCAAAGGGGACAGACAGGCTTGCTCTGGTAGGCCCCTGACATGATGTTTCCAACAGGCCTCCTCCTGATACCAAATTAATGTGCATCTGGGCCACAGACATTTGTAGTAGCCGCCAGATACACCTCCACTGGACATGTACCATTTTCCTAATAGGGGACAGCACTTTAGGATGGAACCAAATTCAATTCCATTCCATGACCAAAAACCTGCTCTCTTCAATGTCCATACTGCACCCCCCGCCTCCCAAATGCCAGGCTCCAAATCAACACCATGTTCCTCGGGAGGGGGGTCAAAAAGAGCAAGAGCCCCCCAACAGTTTCTATTACACTGAACGCTACTATGGGACAACCTTGGTCAGAACCAGAGCTAACCAAAATGCTCACATTAAACTGGTTATAGCGTACATGCATTCAAAACGTGAGTAGTGCTATTCATTAAATCAACTCACTTAAAATATAATCCAATTAAAAAAAAAATCTAAGAAGTAAGAAAAAGGAAAGGAAAAAAAAAAGCAATGATGGTAATAAAGACAATCAGTCATATTCACCTTCATACGATCAATCGACCTCCCTAAAGAAAAGATTTCTGTTTTGTTCCGGCAGCCTGTTAAGTTACACAGCCCTGGAACTAACCGAGGAGATATGAAGCATGTCGTTCTTTCCTGGTGGAAAAACGAAAATGATTAAGGTGGGAGAAGCATTTTATGCTTTCTCATTCAAACGAGTCTTTTCATGCACAAGGAGTTTTGGTTTCTGAACGAAGTGCTTTCCATCAGTACTTATACCATCTGCCTCCGGGCGTGGATTTTTTCGTGCTTATGGAGGTTGGAGCGATGGCCGAAGCATTTGCCGCAGACCATGCAGCGGTACGGAGTCTCCTTCGTGTGGGTCCTCTGGTGCGCGACGAAAGCCGATTTGTCCCGGAAACTTTTGGGACATTCGGGGCACTGGTAGGGCTTTTCTCCTGTATGGATTTTCTCATGCTGAACCAGCCCGGCGTTCTGAGAAAAACTTTTCCCACACTCTGCACAGTGGTACGGTCTCTCTCCGGTGTGGGATCTTCTGTGTTTCCTAAGGGAAGAGGCGTCGCCAAAGCTCTTCCCACATTCCACGCAGACATACGGTTTTTCTCCCGTGTGGATCCTCTCGTGCACAATGACATTCGCCCGGTGCCGGAAGCTCTTTCCGCAAACCGAGCAGGGGTACGGCTTCTCTTCGGTGTGGATCCTCATGTGGACATGGTAAGCTGAGGTGTTCCGGAAGCTTTTCCCACAAACGGGACACTCGTGCGGTTTTTCTCCCGTGTGGATACGCTGGTGCCGGATAACGTCGAACTTGTGGGCAAAGCTCTGCCCGCAGTCTACGCAGTGATAAGGCTTCTCTCCCGTGTGTGTCCTCTGGTGAGCCAAGAGCCCACTTTTCTTGTTAAAGCTCTGTTCGCAGTCCGGGCAAGGGAACGCTTTCTTTGGCACATGGCTTTTTTCATGCGCGGTAAGTTGCGAACGCTGCCTGAAGCTCTGCCCGCATTTGGAGCAAATGAAGGGTTTCTCTCCTGTGTGGATACTCTGATGGGCCACCAACACGTCTATCCCGGAGAAGCTCTCTCCGCAGTCCCAGCATGTGTACGGGTTCTCCACCGAAGCTGGAAAAGAAACGGATTTGCCTGCTACTTTACCCAGGCCAGTTTGGGATTGATTCTTGGGCATGCCTTTCTGTTCATGATCCCGGGGTGCATTCTGCTCTGCTCTTCCAGAGAGCACCCAAGGCAGTTCAACTCTCCCAGGATTTGGGGGGAGATTCTTCACTTTCCAAAGGGGCCTCTCATTGGCTGCTGAAATAAGGAGAGGGGCCTTACAAGGTGGTGTTTCTCTCTGCCAGGGAGACAGGAGGCTGCCCAGGGAAAGGCACAAACTGGAGTCGGACCACTGGCAGCCCCAGCCCAAGGCTTTTTGCAATTGGGAGATGCCAGGATCTTTTCCCAGGGGCTCAGAGTGCAAGGGGCAGCTCTGGAAAATCTAACCAGCTTGCTGCTGGCCTCTTACCAAAACTGAATGCTGACTACATGGCAACTCAAACAGAGGGATGGCATCAAAGCGATTATACATGGAGATTGGGCTTCATAACCCTCCAGCAAGGCAGTCAATGTTTTGGAGGCTCAAGAGGGGAGTTTTTTGTTTTTAGCAAAGCGACTGGAGCAGCAATGTCATGACATCACTGGACTGACTAGGAGGTTTGGGGAAGAGTTCTGCCTTTCATGCTAGTTTTTCAACCTTTTCCCGGCGGTTTTCGGCTGGAAAGCTGGGAAATCCTTACCCAGTAAAGGGACATCCTCTTCTTTGTTCTCTCTGAACATCGGCCATTCACTGGACTCCATCGGTGTTCCCTCGGACCCATGGAAATCAACGGTTGCCTCTTTGAAGGGCCATAGACTCTAAAAAAGCAGCAAGACCCAACAGCAAGAGTAACAAAAGGAATGAGTGAGAAGTAACAAGGATCTGGCTCTTCTGGCCAGCCTAGCTGTACAGCCAATCCTCAAATATGTACTTAAATGGGAAAATAGATACATTGGAGACCTGCATATCCTGGATACTGTGTTTATTCTACTGTCTAGTGCAGTGTTTCTCAACCCTGGCAACCTTAAGATGTGTAGACCAACTCCCAGAATTCCCCAGCCAGCAAG